TGTGTGTGTGTGTGTGTGTGTGTGTGTGTGTGTGTGTGTGTGTGTGTGTGTGTGTGTGTAACTGCAGTTAGGGGTCATAAAGTTTATTATCAGGAACTGCCAGAAAAATCCCCAAAACCCCAATCTGCTATTTAAATGTGTCATTTGTTTGTTGATACTCTGGGTGATTTCCAGGATAATGATACAACCTCTGTTGTCTCAGTCTGCAGTGGGAGGTGGTTTCAGTTTCATTTCCTGAATGTGTCAGTGCATGTCAGTGAAATACCTTAAATTTATCTAATTTAATCTTTTTTAAAAAAAAATGTGCCTGCATAATTTGCTTGCTATGCTTACATAGCATCTACAACAGTTGAAATCCAATTATTAAAGCTTTTCTGTGCCGTAGTAACTTTTGCACTGTTTTTTTTCCAACACGGAAACCCATTGATTCAGTGTAGACTAAATAACATCTGCCAGTTTAAAAATAGTGTGACTCATCGTGGAGTCACGACTTCCTTACTTTCACTTTTATCAGAATTAGTCTGATTTAGTTGAGCTGAAGCAAATGTTTCACTAAAAACCTGTTCTTATTCAGCTTATTGAAGTTTAGCTTAGATGTAAAATTTTCCACCACAGAGAGGCTGAGAGGTAGCTGTGTTCCTTACAGTCTCACCAGGAGGTCCGACTCCTCCACGGGGTCCCTCCAATCCCATGTCACCCTGTCAACAAGAAGAGGCACTGCAATTATTGGCTACTTGAGCTGCTAATAACACATAATAACTGCTGGGCTAAACAAATGCAAAACAGTATAAAAATACAATGGTTCAATGTAAATCTGTAATTTAAAACCATAATGTTTTTAAATTAATTATATATTTATAATAAATCATATAAATAGCAATAGATAGATCTAATAATTATGACGTCTACCACAAAGTAATATTATGAAGCCCTGAACTGTAATTTTTCAGCATAAAATCACATAATTTCAGGTCAAATGAGCTTTCTTTAAATTATTATTATATTACATGTCACTTCAGTGAATTTTAAACTTACTGATGGGGTTGATGCAATTGATAATTACACTTCATATAGTTCTCTAAATGTAGCTGTTGCAGGTATTGCAGTCTGCTTAGGTATTGTCTGTCTATCTTTATGCAAATATTTTGCTTATTTATTGACAGGAGCATAGAAGACATTTAAACAAACAAAAATATTGTAAATAATGCACAGAAAAAAAATAATGCTCCAAAGGGAAGAGATGCTGTAACTTGTAGATAAATACCTGACACTGTGAAAACATTATGTCAGGTATGACATTGTGGAAATACTAAATGTATACTGTAATCAGTGCATTAACTCAACAGTGATGCATCTATCAACATCCCTCCAACCACATGACTGAGGCGAGAGGGGTGGGAGGGATAGAGTGTGCGTGTGTGTGTGTTTGTGTGTGTTTACCTTTAGACCCACATCTCCAGGCTCACCTGGCTCTCCTGGAAGTCCAGTTTCTCCCTGACAGATTCAATGAATAAGCTTAGGAAAGTTTTAAAAATCCTCACAGATGGAGCTGCAGCTTTACGGAGCTTAACTCTTTGGTGAAAAAAAAATTTCAGTTATTAGTTTAAAAGGTTTTAAATGAAACTTAACAGCTCACACTCTGCACTTATATCTTTTAATAGTCACAATAAAATGTAAACGTAGCCAGTTAACTTTCACTTCGGGATGGACTGGTTAACTCACTGTGGCTCCAAAAAAACCAGAAGCTCCTTCATCTCCCTCAGGACCAGGGTCACCCTGCAAGATGAGGTCAAAGGTTACAACAGATAAGGGCAAAAACATTTCCAAAGCTTATACACAACACTCACTCTCCTCACACAACAAAGCAGTTTCATAGTCTTAAAAATTGCAACAGCTGAAACTTATAAACAGTGAATTTTTGATATATGGTGAAATCAATTTAAAAAATAAAAACAATGAAATTATTGAAATGACTGATTATATCTTAACCCTACTTTAGTTGGGGCACCTCGAGGTGTCTGTTGTGTAAAATAACACTAAAACAGCACAAAACACTTTTTTCCCTTTTCCGGTCATAAACAAGATTTTTTTTCTGCTTTAGTCTTTAATTACTTAAATTACTCGAATTACTTTAAATTTAATTAAGTTTCAAATGAAGAGCTTTCACTTTCAGTTGGCTTCAGGTTTTTAACAAACTTTCCTTCACTGCTTATACCTCTTTTACTTTCTGTTTAGCTGACTGGCTTTTATGGTCGTTAAAACTCAGTATTTTCAGTTTCATTTTATTTTTTCTTTAGTTTTTACTTTCACTCTATGTTACAACACCAATGCTGTCATTACTTTCACAGTGTTATGGGAGCTACAAATGTAAATACAAGCTATTTTGCATGGTAGTATCAACTGTGACTGCTGTAGCATGATTTACTCACCACTGGTCCAGTATCTCCTCTCCCTCCCTGAACACCTTTGGTCCCTTTATAGCCCTAAAACACAAAACGGATAAATAACCAGTAATTAAACTACTTGAATATGCAGCTGCTGCTTTAGTATCACTTTAATCAGGCATTCTTGTCATAAACAAACATCCATTATTCATGTTTAAGACTTTTACCTCTCTCCCTTGAGACCCTGGTTTACCGGTTTTACCCTGCAGGCCTCTGGATCCCTGAGAGAAAGAGAAAAGGAATCAGACTGTGGAAAACAAAAACTACAACATGAACAAACCTACATTTGACCCTAGTTTTGGATCAGGCCATGCAGTGTAAGAATGAAACAAAGGGGCCATTGACTGCATTTAGCCAGTGATGTGATGCAATGTGGCTGTACCTTCGGTCCTGTGAAGCCAGCAAATCCAGGCTCTCCGGGCTCACAGTCACACTCTGTTGGCCCCACCTGCCCAAGCTCTGCATCGCCCCCTGACTCTTCTGAGGAGCCAGTGTCAGGCTCATATGGCACCTAAAACACAACATTAACAAATATTATCACACCTATGGTGTCCTTCAAATTTAGCTTCACTACACCCAATGCCCTGCACCTGCATAGACATGGTTTTGTAGACATTCCTGATTCCATTTTCCTTGTTTTAAAGAAATTTAAATCAAGCTGCTACAATTTTGCAGTGTGATAAGAGAACAGTTACCAAATCAACCTCATAGTAAGATTTGCTTGACTTAAACTAAAATGGACACATTAAATTAATTTTAAATCTCATTATTGGTGAGGAATATTCAATAATCATAATTTTATTTTTAATCGCTTATTTGCCTTGTGCAGTGCTTCAGATTAGCTATGCTCTGGAACAAGTATGTCATTTTCATCATGAAGAACCACAAGTTGCAGAAGAGGCTTGATGGTGTAGGGTTATGATTCTCGTAGGTTCAAATCCTGGATGCGCCCTTACTTTGGAGCAATTACTGACTGATAGTTCTGGCAGGCAGTTTGCTTTCAGCATCACTAAACAAAAATTGTAGAAAATCTAGCCCATTACAGAAGACTGCTGCTAATAATATTTAAGTGCCTCCAGGGAGCAGCCACCCGCCTGTGACCTGAAGTGGACACTCCACCCATTTCTAGCTGAGAACCATGACCTCAGACCTGGAAATGCGGACATTCATCTGCCAATCACCTCACTTAAAGCTGGAGGCTCCCACCTGAGGGAGCCAACAGAACCACATCATCTGCAAAAAAGCATAGATAAGATCCTGAAACCACCAAAGTACAAACCTTCTGCTACTTGCCAAAGTCCAAAACCCATAAGGAATAAATCCGACTTATTGCCAACAATGCAGACCAAGCTTTCACTTGGCTGTACAGGAACTGAATGACCATTAACAATGGGCTGAATGCCCTTTAATAGGAAGATTTTTATGCGAGAGAGAGGTCAGGTTTTTATGAATGCTATATGAAACTAAAACTCAGTTCCTAGTTATGTTTAGCAGATATGAAATTGTTGAGGGGCTTGGAACAAAGAGAGACTGAAAGAGGCTTGTTGTTTTTTTTAAAGCTCTCTCTACATTTCTTCCTGCTGCAGTTTAATATTGTTGTTGAGCTATCCCTGACACTCCCAGCACACGGCTGTCCCACCTGCACGATCTCAGTGTCCTCTTTGGCATAGTGGGACTCAGTGGTGGTGATGTAGGGAAAGGTGTCCTCAGTGATCATGGTGATTTGGGTGGGGATTGGGCCATAAGTGTCATAATCCTCCTCCTCGAATATCTGGTCCACATCATAGCTATGAGTCGGCTCTGGTGGATATTCTAAGGAAATATTAAGACATTTAGTTTTGTTTGGACTTTGTGGTGCATTGTTACAGTCAGCAGTCCTGGTCTGGAGCCCCGAGGACTTCAAACAGTCAGAGAGTGTCCTCTGGTACAGTTTACACTAAGTGTGTTACTGATCTCACCTGGCTGAGGAGCAGCTAAGTTGTCATAGTGGTCAACTGCGGAAGACTCTTCATAGGTGTGTTCCTCACCTGAATAGACATGCAAAATACATGAGGTAAGAACTCAGTATGAGACACATGGGGAAATGTGACTCGTTTAGGGGTATGATTCCTGTTTTGAGTGTGCACGATCCCGGGTTCAATTCCCTGATGAGCCCTTAACTTACAGCAAATGTGGGAGGATAAAGGTTGCATCATACAGTACATACAGATCAACAATTTCCAAAAACATCTCTCCTCTCTTGCAAAACTGTGATTTGAGTCAGTGCATTAAAGTTAACGAATAAAGTGAAGTTACGATCGGAAGGGTTTTTTTGTTGAAAAAAACAAAGAAACAAACAATAATTTGTGGTAATAATTGAATAAATATGAGTTTGTAATGAATATGTGATAAAATTTTGTGCTCGCCTAACAATGCAATTCATTTAAAGTTGTTACTTTTTTTCTCCACATAAGCCTTTACTTGACTACGATATTAAACAAGAAAGTTACTAATGAGTTGTGAAGGTACTTTTTACTACTTAAAAATAATTAAGCAGTGTTTATCATAATTAACTGTCGATTAGTTACCTAGAAGAAACCAGTTTACAATATTCCTCAGCTGGATTCTATAATTGCGTTATCTGTCACCTGTTGTTCTTTAGTAAAACAAGGCTAAACAGCTATTGTTTCACCTGAGGTTAAAGTTAAATCAGTGTCAGCATGAGGAAGCCCTGACCTGAGTGGTATCCAGAAAATTCCTCCTGGCAGTGAGAAGAGACGGCAAACAGCATGAACACGAGCAGCCCCGAGAGGAGCGACGCCTGCAGGGTACACATCAAATACAGCAGATAGACTCATGCAACTCAATTCACCATTTCACACAACCTGAATGAATATTAAACTGTAAACTAAGATGTCACTGCTGGATGAGTTTATTTTCTGACCCACTGTTCCTACTACAAGTGCTGTCAGCTGTATTTAAATAAATCCCTCCATTTGACTCTATTAATTAAATTAAATTAAATTAGTTTTAATTAAATAATTAAACCAACTAACTTTTGATTAGCTGCTTCTTGCACACTAAGAATTTGAACGGCAGGTGGGTGGGGCTCCTGTATTCACAAACAGTTAAGTGCATTTAATGACCACCAGAGATGGGCAGTAACACGTTATTGTAATCTGATTACTACAAAAAGTAATTCGATTACTGTTACTTTCCCGTAAGCACGCTGCATCACTGCGTTACTAAACCGTGATTTTGTGTGTGAGAGTGTCTGATGACAATGACGTCAGTGGCAGCAACAGATGTGTAAATCAACATCTGAGCAAGCACCTGGCCTTCTGCCACGGGAATGTGAAATTCACAGAGAAAGCGCCGGATCCCCCCCACTGACAACTGCAAGAATCACTCATCTGTTTGACTTCTGCATTTCTGTCATTGCAGGTGCTTATTGGTCTATCCTTTGAGGGATAGGTCCCCGTTTTAAATCGTAGACAAGCCCTAACTACACAAAGACTGTTGCAAACTATTCTACTATTCTACTTTGAAGAGTGCCCATGCTGAACCTCATGTCTTTAGTCTTCAGTCCCTTGTTGGTATTTTTTTTTTTAATGTTATGCACAAAAAGGGTATCAATTAGCTGTCAGTGAGGTAGCTCATCCATCTCGTGATCCATCATATTTCACAGGCTAAAAACAAACAAATTATTCTACAGGGACTGCAGCAGTGCTTCTTTCTCTGTGAAGGGAAACTGTAAACAAACAAGGTTAAAAAAAAAAGAAAAAAAAAAAGATTGCAATCATGCTGATGTAGTTTTGCACCACTTTGACTTAGCAAAGACTTGTTTGACCTCATTTTTTACACTGGGAGTATTTTGACTGCTTTATGGGGGCTTTTTAGTTCCAGGGGACTTGATAAGTCAGATTCTTTCTTCCATTTACTCAGTGCATCATGTAAAGTGTTTTTACATTGTAAACTTTTATATAGGATCCAACCAAGTTTATTTTATTTCAGAAAAAGAAAAAGTTTAAAGTAATCATGAGCTGCATAAACAGCCCAAAGGGAGTGTTAAGTATATTGATCAACAGAAATTCAGCATAATTCAGCTCTCCAGTCTTCAGTCTTGTTGCCTCAGCTCAGGTGACTGATTACTGTCAGCTTTTATGGTTCTGCTTAGACCAGTGACAGGTGTTATACTGCCCTCTGGAGGTAGCATAGTAAACTACTGGTAGGATGCTGACAGAATACAATCCTATGGAGGTTTTTGTATTAGCCAAACAAATTTTAATAGAAAAACAAAACTCCTTAATTCTGATGGTCTTTGTTTATTTCCATGTTATTTTTTCCAGCACTGTAAACGCTATGTGCAAATATTGATTTAACCCACACGGTCAGTCTGATTGAATGAATAATAGGCAGGTTATCTGTGAAGCCTTTCCTGACTCACAGTGGTTTTTCATTCATTCACCTCTAGGCTGCATTCCTGAAATGCTCTTTTTGAAGGACTTCCTAAAAGGACCATCATTGGCTTCAGCTTATTCAAATTTCTGTTGAAAGGTTATTAACTAAAACTAATAACCATGTTAACCAGTTTTAGCACAGCTGCACTGGCATAAGAAAACTTTTGCACAAGTAATTTTAAAATACTCCTTCTTGTATTTAAAGTCTTTCTTTTTTATTTAAAAGTTTACTTTAAGTTCTAACTCACAGTCATAGATCTTACACTGCCACTTGTTGGACAACCAATGAAAAGTATCAAAAACATCAGAAGTGAAGCAACCGCTTTCACTGATGAACCTCCAGAACTCAGAGCAGAACGTGATGCATCAAATATGTTCAGAGAAGTGTTTGGGTGGGCTACACCAACAAAGGAGAATCACTGTAAAGGACTCTTTATTTGCAATGAGGTTGCTGAGTTTTGAGTTGCTGCTGTTTGCCTGAGAATTAAACAGACTGAGGTTTCTTTGTCAGGAGGAAGACTGCTGAGCACTTCTCAGACTCATCTGACATTCCTGAAGCCTCACTGTGAGGCTGCAGACCAGCACAGGAAAAACCTGGAAGGCTGTGTATTAGATTTTAACACAAGGTCACTGAACTGGATAAAAGGAAGATAAAAATGACCACAACCACATTGTTGTAATGCTTTCTGAAACCTCAGATCAAACCTGTTTGAAAAAGAATTTTGGGAAGATTCAAACCTTGAAAAGGTCAAATGAGCTCAGCTTCTCTGGTGTTAAAGAATCCCTCACTCTTATAATGTTTCTTTATTCAAGTAACAATTTATTCATATAATATTGACCTGAATAAAGTAGCAAAAAGAGCTCATTATCCAACAAGAACATTTGCCACATTTCTGCTAGACAAATGTTGCCTTGTTAACCTTTATTAGAGGCTAGTTTGTGCATGAATTTAAACAACCCAAGAGAACAGCTGTAACAGACGATACAAGCAAATTCAAACCCAATTAACTCTGCCCTGTTGGACCTCTGGGGCAGTGAGGTAGTGAATACTCTCACATTTCATATTTAACTTTTTTGTTCATATTTGTGGATTGCTATAAAGAAACAAAGGCTGCTCCAACATTCCCAATGTGTGCAAAATCTATTTGGTCACATGGCCAAACATTACACCATGTACAAATTTCCCTTTGGCTTTGTTGTGAATTCTAGAGAAAAATCCAAAGTCAGCAAAGAATCTAAACGAAGCCTGCTCTGTGAATTAAAAAGCTTCCCCAGAACCTAAAAATTACCCACAAACATTTATCAGAAATGTCTGCTCAGCAAAATGACTCCCACACAGATGACTTACTGAACAGCTGAATACAGAATTAGTTTATGATGTATTGCACCAAAATGACTTTAAAAATGAAAATAAGTTATACTTCAGTAAACAACAACAAAAACGTTTTTTAGATAAATTCTGTCTGCAGATTTTGCAGATTTAGACGCTAACACAAACAAAAAGAGAAGATCTGCATTTTTAATATGGAAGTTAAATTAATTTAAGGCCTATATCAACATTTTAAGGTCCTGCTAACAGCCTGAGAGGCACTTTATAGACTGTCCAGTGGACTAAGGACAAACTAAAACCTTCCCCTGATTATTTTACCATAAGCAACATTTAACAGTTCCCTCAAAATGTGCAGGGCCAAATCCACATATGATGATAATCTCATCTTACCTTATCACAGGAGGCCCCCATGGTGCTGCACAGTGATTCCCTCTAGACCAGACCTGTTAAAGGATTCTTTGGGGATATGGATGAGAACAAAAACAGCCAGATTTTACGTTCCCTGAGGAGTTTCCCTTACACTATTATCACCCCAACGGTTCCCCCTGTACTCTCGTCTCTCCAGGATCCGTCAGGTTCCCAAGCACGGACGGGATCCTGTTCGACTTTTTTTTGTTCTTCTCGTCCTCTATCTGTGCTTCTCAAAAGGGTGAGAAATACCAGATCCAGAATCCAGCATGAGCAGAGAAAAACCAGGACAGAAGGAAGATGAATAGATTTTGGGGTTTTGTGTCTTCACATTAATGTCTATATCACATTTCCATGTGCTGCTGTCTGGAGTTGCAAAACATTTTAACATCTGATTAAAAAAACTGTTTTGAGGATTGTAATCATCTAGACCACAATTTGCACCCATAATCATACCTTGTATTTCCTCTCATGAGCTAAATAAAAATACATTCAAAATAAACTGTATCATTTAACGATTTTTCAAGCTTCAGTGAAACTTTTTCAAATTAGTTTAGTGAGGAACACATTTTACCCTCAGAACAAGGTTTCTTAAATCAAAAGACCGAATGTTTTGCTGTGTTGCAATTTCAAACAATGATGTCATTTATGCCAACACAAATAGATTGTGTGACTACAGAGACAATTAATGATAATAATAATAATTTGTTGTATAAACTGGTCATTTTTATATTCTTCAACCTAGGAACAAGAATCACAGGTGCATAGTTTTGCAACTATTCTTCAGTGAGCAGTCAGATTTAGTTTTTATGTTCTTCCTGAAAGTCTGAACTCTTTATCAGACTATTAATTTAAATATCTGTAAAATGATCACCCTACATTTACTTGCAGTGTTTTTTGTTTTTTTATAAACAGACCGCACAAACCCCCTTTACTCCATTTTCTTAATGACTTTCCAGGTAAACACACCCAAACTTACAGCAAAGACTAAAGGCCAAAAAATAACCTTTGAACTTATGGTGAAAGTAGGACAGTTAAGACACTCCTGTCTGAGATTCCAAGTTATCATTAAAAAA